CCTTCATACGATTCTTGACGTACCCGAACGATGTCGTATTTAAAAAAATAATTTCTATTGTGGGTGGTCAAACATGCTCTCATATTTTCTAGACGTAGAAGAAGAAAGTATCATTTTTTTAATCTCATATATATAAGTAGGTTAAAAACCTTTCAAGTTCATACATTTGAGTCTATCAACCAATTAACAATGGATTCAAACTATGTTTAAAGTAGCCTTTGCACTTAACTCTTATTAACCCTAACTCATTTCCACCGTTCATATTGTCTAATGATATCAAAAACTTTTCCCATAGTGCGCGAATTTCAAGATTCGATATAATTTATCTACTCAGTACTTTATAAATACAAGATCAGCAAATTTTTATTTCAACTTTTATCGTTTTAACAATCGAAGAGTTTTTTTTTTTTTTTTTCCTCCCCTTTAGGCAAGCTGCCAACGACCTTTAAAAGGTAGCTTTTTTTTGTGATATTTTTTTTTTCAAGCTAGCCTGCGAGTCACACGGACCAGCTCAAGCTCGGCCCGACGCCCAAAGATGGGGCTCTGCTCGAGTCTCGAGCTGATCCTGCTCGAGATTTTTGCGGGTCGAGCACACATGCAATTCGAGCTCGCGAGCTTATTTGCTATTTCTAATGCAACCATATTGAGCTCCCTTATCCAGAGGAGTTCTATAGTTGCTCCATCACATCATAACCATTGCGTCATGGCTTTTCATTGGAATTTGCATCATAATGAAGCCCCCGTTTGGCCCCCATTATTTCTCATTAAATTAAATTAAATTAAATTTTTCTCTCTCCTATTTTTAACTACACAATTTTCAATAAAATAATATTACACGTAAACCAAAAACTTTTCTTTCTTTTCTTTTCAACCACTCATTTTTCAAAAAAATACTATTCAAAACATTATAATCTCCAACTAATGGGGGATCAAACGGGGGCGAAAAATCATCATTCTAAAAGTTGACAATGAGAAAGTCTAGCCGCCACATTGACATCGGATCTAACGTATCTACTTATATATGAAAATTATTATCGCCACATTTCTTGATCATTTAACTTGATGCTCTTTTTGGTGATTTTCGCTTTGGTTTAGTTTGTTTTTTCGAGGTGTAGGTTGTGGTGGTGGTGGTGGTGGATTTGAGGTCAAGGTAGTGATGAGTTGTAGATTTGATGTAGTGGCGATGATTTAGGTGGTTAAGTGGTGATGGGATGGGGTGGGGTGAAGAATGATTGTATCCAGTTAATTTGGTAATTTGTGACTTATAAAAACTTGTAATTTGCAATTAAATTTGTAGTTGTGGCCTATAAATTGTGTCTTTGTGATTATGGCATTATGTCGTTTGTGAGTAGCATACGATCGTAAGCATAAATTATATGTTATTGTGACTATGACATATTTAACTAAATTATAGATCACAAATTTTATTAGAGGTTATAAAATGTGGTCACCTAATTTTTTAAAATAAGTCCATAATTTTGGAACTCGAGAACATATCTGTAAGAGAGAGAAAGTGGAAAGTGAGATATGACATTGTTAATGAAGATATCCTAACTTGACTACTTTTCCTAAATTTTATTCACAGTAATATCTTAAAACTATATTGAACTATATTATAATATATTAATATGATTTATCACCTAATTTTTGAAATATTTTTTTAAGTTTGATAAATGTAAAATTGTGTAATTCAAATATTGTATTTATGAATTCTTTCCATTTATTTCATAAAATTCTTATTGAAATTATCAAGCCCATGGTTGATCTCCACTTTTCAAACGGGTACTTCAGAAATACCCTTAAGTTTAGGATGTTTATCAAAAATAATTATAAAATAGGTTAAAAAATAAATAAATAAATAAATAAAAATCCCACAATTTATCCAAATTAAGCAAAACCAAAATCATAGAGAAAAGCTTGCATAAATCAAGCCGAAACAAGGTCAACGGCAACTTTGACAACCTTTTATTCAAATTTTTCGTTACCAAATCTGCAAATAATTAATTCAAATCTAAATTTTTGTATTTTTATGATGTTTTATTTAACTAATTCATATTTTATTTGCTTTTGATGTTGTTGAGGTTTCTTTGTTGGACCAAGCTACACCAACATAATGCATGACATGCGGTTTGACAGAAGTACACATAAGTTACAGGGGTCTGCATTTTTTATTCATAGCGGGACTCATAGCAATTGTGAGAGGAGGTCAGTGCTTCTGTCAAGCATTTTCTGTCACTCCGATTTTATCCTTCTTTGTTTTAGTACGTATGAGATTTCATTTTTAAATTAAAATTTTTGAGTTAATATATATTAAAATTCATATTTTTATGAATTGGATTTAGTTAGTATATATGAAAAATCAACTTTGAATCAATTCAAGTGATGCATGCAAAGTGTTTGTGAATGAAATGGTGGTGGAGTAATGCCTCCTGATTTGCCTAGTGGCCTTTAGCTTTTCTGCTATTTCGACGGGCGTGTGTAACTTGAAAAATAAGGGCAGGGCTTTCTCCCCCGTTTTACCTACGGCGTAAGAATCAGTATATGTGTTAGGAGAAAATAAAGTCGGAATTCAGATGGCTAAAAAAAATGCAGTCATCCATACCTGTGTCGCCCTCGTGGGTATTTATAGACGTTGGAAGCCGAGTGGGAGTCGGGTGGTTGTGGTGCCACGTGTCCTCACGTTGGCCTTCCGATTACCTCCACGTTCTGAGCCTCTTAACTTCCTACCAGGAGGTTGTGCTCGTGGTAACCGCTACATAACCTTGTTAATTCATCAGAAATTTTATAGTTAAGTGTTGATATGGCCCTATAGGTAATTTCATACCGGTCGATGGTCTCGCATTGAAGTAGAGTACCCGAGGGTCGATGGTCTCTCGTAGAGGTAGAACACCCGGGGGTTGACAGTATCTCGTAGAGGTAAAGCACCCTCGGGGAGTCGATGGTCTCTCGTAGAAGTAGAGCACCCCGGGGGTCGGTGGTCTCTCATAGAGATAGAGCACCCAGGGGGATCGACGTTCTCGCGTAGAGGTAAAGCGTCCTCGATGGGTCGATGGTATAGTGTAGAGGTCGAGTGCCCCCAGGGGTCGACAGTCTCTCGTAGAGGTAGATCGCCCCCGGGGGTCGATGGTCTCTCGTAGAGGTAAAGCGCCCAGGGGTCAATGGTCTCTCGTAGAGATAGAGCACCCTCGGAGTTTGGTGGTCTCTCGTAAAGCTAGAGTGTCCTCGAGGGGTAAATGGTCATGCATAGAAGTAGAACAACTAGGGGCTCGACGGTCTCACATAGAGGTAGAACGTCCATGGGGGTTGATGGCCTCGCGTGGAAGTAGAACGCCCATTGGGGGGTCGACGGTCACGTGTCAGCATATAATGCTTTACCTCACTCGTTATCGCATACGGTTATCTACGCCATCCAATATCAGTGAAAATGTAAATCCAAATATGAGAATGAAAACATTAGCTTTCTCTGTTATTTTTTTTCAAAAAGGGAGTAATCTATTCCATTTGAATTCTTTTGAATCAATTAAAGAGATTTATATGTGTGTTTATGAAAATTAAATATGAATATGAGTTCAAACCCTACTTTAAATTAAAAAGGGAGATAATATAACATCATATTTGACCTTCGCATATGAAATAGAGTGGTGAAATTTAAAAGTATCATAATTTTTTTTTTATAGATAAAATTAACGTCTCCATTTATTATAGAGAAAAATTGGAATAATATAACGAATATAAAAATGATAAAATGACTGAAGTTGTTGTCCAATAAAAATCTTAGAAACACACTAAGAAAATACCAAATATCAAAGACGGCCACATTTCTTCTTATAACAAACCCTATCAATGTCTCCCTGTCTCGTTGCCTCTGTGTGGCGAACACCAACACCATGGGTCTTTTACAATCTTGCCCAGTTCGTCTTAAATCTCGAGCCTCAAGGTAATTTCTTAACTCTTATTTATGATCTCCAATTCTTTTCTAATCTCATCTAAAATTGAAGCCATTTTCATTTTTGAGACTGCTGACTTGGTTTTAGCTTTAATTAGGTCAGATTTGACTTGTGTCTTATAAAACTCTGAGTTCCTATTTGGGCTATATTAAAATGAAATTTTGGGACAAGGTATTTTTAAATAATGATTTTTTGAAAAGAATAATGTTATTTGCAAACGCTCACTATCGCGATCGTCCTACGTGACATATAATTAGGTCAGATTTGACTTGTGTCTTATAAAACTCTGAGTTCCTATTTGGGCTATATTAAAATGAAATTTTGGGACAAGGTATTTTTAAATAATGATTTTTTGAAAAGAATAATGTTATTTGCAATCGCTCACTATCGCGATCGTCCTACGTGACATACATATGACGGTTAATGATTTGTTATATAAAATAACAAAAAATTATCACATTAATATATCAAATTATTAACCTCCACATGTATGTCATATAAGACGACTACGACATCAAACGACTGCAAATAACATTACTCGTTTGAAAAATGTGTGATTGATAATAAGAAAAAGTTTTGAGTTTACTTGTAACATTATTTTATGAAAAAAAAAAGAAAATGAGTTTAAAAAATGAAGTCTAAACAGCAGCTAAATTTGCTCATTGTGCATATATATTGAATTTTGGTAATGAAAAAAATTTGTTCTTTGATTTGGGCCAAAGCTAAAACTGATTTAATAATGAAATAAGTCATTTGTACAATGAATTTGTACAACATGCTAGACAATGATGTAAGTATCAAAAAAGTGTTGATGGGAAAGATAAAGTATTTTTCAAACTGTCCAATGATAACTTGCCACGTAGCATGCTGTCAAATTTATTGTAAAAATCATTGTACAACAAGCATGATTCTTTAAGAATAGGTTTGGGTCAATTTGGTTTGACATTTAACCAAATAAACTTGATTGTTTTTGGTTCCAGGTTTAGTCCGAATAAGACCAAACCCAACCCTTATTATTATTTGTTTTTTAACAATCAACAGGAACACATCACATTACTACTAAATCAATGCAAACCATGGTTGAAACAAAATGCAGAATTAAATCCACAGCGTGTCGACAAGTACTAAAAGCTAACGTCTCACGAGAAGCAATAATGTGGACAAATTTATTTTGCTCGCATAGAATAAGCTTGCACGAGCCATGGAAAAATGATGCGAAAGAGAAGTAATTTCCGACTACCCATGCCTATAAAGGACTTCTAGAGAACCACCGGGTGATCATCGCTAGACTTTGTTCCGGTTTAAACCTTGATGCTCCATGTCCTGCACCCTGCAAAATAAAAAAACAAACTTTTATTTCTTGTTTTTCTTCCAAAATTGTGCGAAATGACACATTACAACTTGTCTTGCCTTGAGTGTCGCAAATGTGAGATGGAAGTTATTCTTCTTGTACTTCTCCGTAAATCTACAAGGAGTAAAGAGCGTTGCAATTTTTTTGAGAATATACCATGCAATATTTATATAAAATTATCAAGAACAAGAAACTTACCCAGCAACTTGGCCATTAACAAGCCAAGCTCTCCAGTTGTTATCAATAGTCACATTAAGAAGGGGGATCCAACTTAAAGGACCCACATATGGTGCAGCCATGTCATGATCACCACTGGAAAGAAAAGAAGCATAATTAGACAACATATACCAAATTTACGCATTTGCATAGTTACATTTTTGGTTTCATGCTCTTCCAATAACTGTAAACTGACATGTATATTTCGTTGATCGATTAGATTAAACATTGAACAAATTAAGTCAAAATTTATATTTAAGAAAGAAATTAATATGACTTACTTGAATACCAAAACATTGGCTCCTTTCTTGGTGAAACTTTTATGATATTCAAGAGCACCTTCTACATTCTGTTCGTAGGGTATTCCGTAATCACACATTGTCCAATTTTTTACCGTTCCCTAGTGATCAATTTAAAAGATTAATGTAAATATTTTGATCATGTATACTGGTAATACATACTAAATCTTTGACATTTTTTCTATTTAATGTACCTTTCTAACATGAAGAGCTTCTTGAACAGTCGGATCATTTGCCCAATATTCAGATACTGCATAATCTATTTCCTGTACAAAAGAAACATGATCATGAGAAACTGAGCATGCATGACTAAGATCGAAAGAGTAAAATAAAAAAGTTATCTTTAAGCTTCTTATCTACGAAAAATATTATTATTAAGTTTTCTTTAGAAGAATAACTTTGAAATGAACGTGTACGAATATATAAATAGAGGATTAATTAAGTTACATGACACTTTGCTTCTTCTGTTGGGAGGGCGAGATGGTTATCTGAATTGTCTATCGAGAATGTTTGCTTCCATCCAAAATCACCTGGTTTCGATGCGCTATCATCACATTTTGGATACAAAATGTGAACTTTGTTTACATAGCGTAGACACTGCAATATTTGATGATACAATGGACATTGTTTAGTGTTTACAACCATAATAAATGTTGGAGATGAAAAATAAAATAAGATGCAAAATGTTACCTCTTGGATTTGTTGAATGGCATACGAACATTCCAAATTATTTGGATCATTATTGTAATATTTTCCATCGCAGCTTTGTTTTGCTAACTGAAATTGTATCAATTAATTACACGAGCACAAGATACAATATGCTACATTTTATCATCAAAATAATTGAATAATAAAGATTACCTCATAATATTCTTTAGATATAAGGGCCATGCCATGAGCATATGGAATTCGTGCATTAAAATCAATGTTTGGATCTGTTAGTCCGTTGCCAATAATGTATCCCTATTTCCAATTCCAAAAGTACTCAATCATTAACACGAAATATATACGTTATAGCATTAAGGAGAAATTCATATATTTATGTGAGCTAATCAAATACTTGGAAGGCCATTTGTGGCTGAAGTTGTGCTTCGTTTCCTGCATTACAATCAATACTAACAACTCAATCAAGCTGGTTGGTTGGTGAAAAAGAAATTATTCAGGAAAAAAAAAAATATTTTTTAGTTTTTGTTTTTCATTTTTTGTAAATTCTACCTCGTACTATTTCCATGGAAACCATGGGAGCTAGTTTGCCTCCATATGATTCACCCGAGACATATAAATGATTTTTGATAAACTTAGGATGATTCAATAACCACTGCATAGCATAATCACAATATATTGTTAGTTCACTAATCCGAAAATAAGGTGGGAAGTGCATATAGGTGCGAATGTGCAAGGACTACTAGTAAGTTCCACATAGTACTTCATTTCTCTATAGCTTCAATTTCCACCTAGGAATAAAACATCCATGACTAATAATGTCAACCTACCTTCCTAAGAAATGCATAAAGATCTTTCGCTGTTGTGATGTCCGTTGGATCGTAACTTTGTGAAGTGTTTACATAAGAATATCCAGTACCAACAGGCGCATCTATGAAAATAATATTGGCAACCTGAAAATAACATAACAATATTACAATGGTAAAGAGCTATGGAAAACATACATACATACATATATGACTGAAAAATGCATGGAAGGAGAGATTTTTCTACCGCGTTCCATGAATATGAATTTAGGAGAATAGATGGTAAGCCTCCATGATAATTGTCAATATCAAAAGTACATGGACCTGCACACTAGCTCATCAGTTGGTGTGACAATAATAGTAATAATATTATAAATTATAACTCGTGATATCAACATAATAATATTCAATTTTAAAGGGCTACAAACGTAAAAAGAATAAAAAATAAAAAGGTAAAATAAATAGGATTATGGAAATTTTCTCTTTTCAATATCATTTTTCAAAAGATGTAACATAGGCCAGCCCAAATCGAGCCTAGATCCGAAATCTTAAATTGGCCCAACATCGTACCCAATACATAATTGCATATATTCGTAAGCCCATATCCATAATGTGTAACTCGTCAGTCCAATTAAAGAACCGGAAATCCAAAATTAACCTTTTCATCCTCAAATTTTACATTGTTGTCCTAATTTCCAAAAATTGAGAAATTGAACAATAGAGTTTTCGTCTCATGATTTCCACTTTAATTTCTTTATTTTATTGTCCATAAATATTTTTAAATTTTATTAACTATAATTCAAGCGTGGAAAACGACTTCCACTAACGTGTCGTCATATAAACCTTTTAGGCCTTGTTTGATTCTTTTTTCCTTAAATAAATTTTTTATATCTTTTTTAACTATACATTCTTCAATAAAATAATATTTAATTTATTTTTTTATTTCTTTATATATTTTACAAAATCTCATTAATTTCCAGTAAAAAACTAATAAAAAATGCAAAAGGTTGCCTTCATTGGACCGCCCTCACCTACTCAAATTTATTGACACCATCACCTATAATTATGCGGGGCCCACTCTATAGAAAAGTCCAAAAATGATAACTTTCCTTGTCAGAATAATGCAACAATTTCAGACATGGGACCACAAATTATGATAATGGAAATGGAAAATGTGCAACTAATGCATCCAAAGAGACGTGTAACTTTAAAAAACATCTGTAAGTAAAAAGTGTAATGCTATAAGTAAAAAATAATTTAAAAATAAAAACTCCGTAATTTTTTTATTTTAAAATACTTTTTTTTTTTATGTATATAGTGTATAACCAAAAGATTATTAAGCCTTTGTACGATTTCCTTTTTTCATCAAAATATACTATTAAATAGTGATTTAATCACATTTTTCAATAAAATAATATTACATACAAATAAAAAAAAATTCTTATTTTTTAACAGTACATTCTTTACATGACATCATTTGTGAACTGTATTTTTTGATAAAAATGAAGCTCAAATCATATAGAGATGTGCTACACGGGCCCCACAACACAGTGAAAGTTATACATGTATAGCACCAAAGGTGCTGTACAAACAGCTTCTTCCAATCATACTCACTAATCACTTAACTCAATATGGTGTGCAAAACAGTCTCTAAATGACACTATTTGCAAAATACATTTTTTCTTTTCTTTTTAATTATACATTTTTTAATAAAATAATATTGCACGTAAATTTAAAATTTTTTCTTATTTTTTAATTACATATTCTCTATCAAATTATTATTTCCAAAATATATTTTTTGCAAAAAAAAAAAAAAAAAAAAAAAAATGAACATCCCCATTTGGAGCTCATTTAATGAGGCTTTTTTTTTTTTTTTTTTTATTTTAAAATAAATAAAATTTTTAAAAAAAAAAAAAAAAAAATGAACATCCCCATTTGGAGCTCATTTAATGAGGCTTTTTTTTTTTTTTTTTTTATTTTAAAATAAATAAAATTTTTAAAAAAAAAAAAAAAAAAAATGAACATCCCCATTTGGAGCTCATTTAATGAGGCTTTTTTTCTTTTCTTTTTTTTTTTTTTTTACAAAATCTCATTAATCTACAGTATAAAAAAAACTAATAAAAAAGTGCAAAAGTTTGCCTTTCTTGACACCATTACATAAAATATCATGCCAAGGACAATTTTTGAAAAATAAGGTGAATTAGGCCTCGTTTATCCCTCATTTTTTAAAATGAAAATGAATGAAATAATATATTTTTTTTGAAAAAAAGTAATTGAAAAAGATGAAAAAAATTTCGATTTACGCATAATGTTAATTTATAAAAAATTGTGTAATTAAAAATAGGGAAAAAAATTGAAATATAATATAATGGAACCAAACGGGGCTTATGTATTGTGCCAACCCCTATTTGAGTAGCAGGGCCCGTGAATTATATGGGGAACAAAAGTCAAAAAAATGATACGTGAGGACCACAAACTACGAAAATAGTAATGGAAAAGGACATGACTGCTCATCCAGGGCCAGTGTAGCAGAGCTAGAAATAGTATTTCTAGCACAATGGAAAATGTGCACATTGTGGGGCCAAGGAGACGTATAACTTAAAAACCATTTGTAAGTAAAAACTTATAAGTAAATTTAACTGTAAGTTAAAAATACTTAAAAGTAAATAATAACTTCAGTAAACATACTACACTAGTTTCCTCTATGATCGTATCTCACTTATTTCTATAATGTGTACAAACTCGCTCGCTCGCTCGTAGACTCTTGTAGGCTCTAACATTTTTCTCACTCGCTCGTATGACTCTTGTAGGAACATCGAATTACAGCATATTTGGTGGAGATTAAAATCAAATATTTAGGGCCTGTTTGAGCCACATTATTCTAAAAAAATACATTCTTAAACAGTGATTTGATATCATTTTAACAATACATTTTTCAATAAAATAATATTACAAACAAATAAAAAAAATTTCTTTATTTTTTAACCACACATTTCCTATCAATACACTATTCAAGAATGCATTATTACCAAAATAATGTGGTTCAAATACCCTCTTAGTAAATTTTGATAAAAAATGATGAAATGTACCGTTGAAAAGTAGTAAATTCCATAAAGTATGTTACTAAAATTAGTTTTTGAATGGGGGAGAGATTACCAATATCATAAACGACACCAAATAAACCAGAGCAACCAGGTCCGCCGGTCAACCACAGCAAAAGAGGGTCCGAGCTAGGATTGCCCTGGGACTCAGTGAAATAGTAGAATAGCTGCACTTCTTCATTTTCTCCCACGCCAATGTATCTAATCAATAATTTGAATATGAAAACAAAGTAAAAATCTCGTCTCACTGTGGATCTAAAGGTAGACGAAGAATGAATCAAGGAACTAACCCGGTTTCGAGCTTGAACGGAAGAGTACCGGAATAACCCGGAAGAGAATTGATTATCGCTTGTGATTCTCCATTCTTGAAGAGTAGTAGAGGAATAAGAAGAAGAAGTAGTCCATACAACCCTATCGAATTCATTATAATCAACACCAGAAATTAAATTGCTGGTGAACCTATCAATCTATATATGTATATATTTACAAGTAGACTGAGACAAGTAAAAGATAACGTCACGTGATTCTTGCTACCAATAAAATAATAGTACTACAAACTTCGATCACAAATTTGTGGTAGGTACACCGGTGGATAACATTAAATTTGTCGTGTTGGGTATCGGTATTGAGAAATATTTATTAACTCGGAATCACAAACAAGTGGTATATCACATAATTTTTAAATGAGTAATGCTATCCGTAGTTGTTTACTGTGGTAGTCGTCTTACGTGGCATACACATGATAAGTAATTATTTGATATATTAATGTTGTAGTTTTTTATTTATTAATGTATAAAATAACTACCTGCCATGTGTATGTCACGTAGGACGACTGCTGTAGTGAGCGACTGCAAATAATATTATTCTTTTTAAATTGGGGGAGATATCTAGGGGTTTTGATAGCACCCTAGGAAGAAGGGGGCCCGCAAGTAATTACATAATCATAGCTCCTTTTTCTATGAGAAGACTGTCAATCGAGATGTCAACCTTAGATGTGTGCATAGCACAACTTCTATCTTAAACCAAAAATAATAATAATAATAATAAGTAAATAAATAAATAAATAAATTGTGATGGTCTAGAAAGTAATGTGAGAGATTTTTATTGGATGGAAAATTTTTGATGATTATTGATTTTAATTACGGTATTTTTTTATTGATTTAAATTTTACTAAAAATTAGTTTATACATATATTATTTGATCAATGACACTTCGCCTTATCCGGAACATGGTTCGATTATCTAAAAATTACGAGTCCCAAGCAAGCTGTTTGCATGCGTATAGGTCGCTAGCAAATCTCTTTCTTTTTGTTGACAAAATAATTATTTAATCAGACTTCCCGTTTTGGGGAAAACTCAGAAATCTTTTTTTTTTTTTTTTTAACGAGGTGTCCCAGCTTGCGCCAGATTATATTCTCGTTCCTGAACTTCCGGCCCCTCAGCAGCTCAGGGAGGTAAATTGCGGGATGTGCTCTTGTTGGTTCCCAGCTTCCCACACGACTTTTACTCCTTCCCCAAAGGGAGCCTTCTTCCATAGTGATTAATCCACCAATAATTCCTCCTTTTATTGGATCAAAGGTTTCCACCAGGAATCGAACTCTCCACGCTTGATTTCAGAGCCCCTCAATGTGATTGTTCCACCAACTTGGATGTGCCCCGGGAGGCGAAAACTCAGAAATTGTTATTTGTTGGGCGTGTTGATCATATGTTTTAATTCTAATAACTAGAGGGAATCACGGTTTTAATATTTTATTATCGTTAATTGGGTGGGTGATTATAAATTTTATTCAAAAATCAGGTGTCGAATATATATATATATATATATATATATATATAATACAATCTTGATCTCCTAAACGTGTGCCTAGCTTATCCTAAACCTTATTCTAAGCCTCAGTTGGCAATTAATTTAAAATCAAAAGAGAGTAACTGATAGCGAAAAAAGATACTCTCGCGCGTGTGGGATCAAGGATTATTTTAATCGCGGGGCTTCATTCTCTATACGTGAAAGGGCTTGTATAAGTGACCACCAATTAAATTAAATTAAAAAAATTAATCATTTAAAAATTGAATGAAGATAAATCACAAAAAAGTTTCAATTCGAGTGGCTGTCATTTTCTCCTATGCTCTTCCATAATTCAATTGATGATCGAGCCAAAGTATTAAAACATATCGCAATCAAGTGGTCCAAATTAGTACCTTTTCTTGTCTTCTACCAATTCTTATCTTCCAGTCATTTTTCAATAAGATTGGAGCAAGGGTTGCCGTTTTCTTCGTTTCTTGGAGATATGCGATTAATTTATTCATTTTGAGATCATTTTAGGCTTCTTTTCCAAATTTTAAGTTGATCTTAAATTGAATATTTCATCCATTTGCCCATTTTGTAGAATCCATGTAGAATCCCGAATTTTTTTGATTAATTCGTATATATTTTATTTACCATTTAATAGGAATGCAATGTTTGGTTAAGTCCTCATGCAAGTTAATTGATTATCTATATAGTTGTTTTAGATCTATATGGATATCTTATTAGTTGAGGGACCGAAGTGAAAATAAATATCAAATTCTTTCATACTTTATTAAATGGGTCAAATAGTTAATTATTGAAGGAGTTAGAATTACCTACCAATATTGGGTTCATTTTAAAGCTCGTAATAAATGGCGAATTATTGACTCGGGAAGAATTTAATTTGTATAAGTTAAACTCGAGTTATAGCCAATTAAGAAAAACTACATAGTTAATAATATTAGTTGTCAATTCGGACTAAATTACTATATCAATATTAGACTCATTGGATAACTCGTAATTAATTGTATATATTATACTCGAGAAAAAGTCGTTTTAGATAAGTCAATACCAAGAAATTATCATTAAAAGAAGTTGATAGAAGAAAAAGAAAATTAGTTTTCAACTTAATTAAAGTCTTCGAATGAAATCGCGCTGTAGCCAATTTTTTTTGATCTTGTAATTGTGTATCTTTGTAGGCATGGTAGGTAAGGTAGGTTTTATTTTAATATTTGTTTGCTTTGATTTTGGAGAAAGAAAATGGAAGATTTTACGTCCTTGCCTTGATTTTGGGGAGTTGTCAATTAGTTGTAATTTAATATCATTTAAATACTTAGATTTTTGGGAATTCATAAGAGGAGCATATCACGTGAATTTGGATTTTTAATTGGTTTTAATATTGGAATAGAATAGGAATTATGTGTGCAATTCATACACTTTTTCACATGTCCACAGAATATGTGTCTCTTGCCAAAAATCTAATAGGGAATCTCCAAATTAGTTTATATCAATTGGGGAATTGGACCCTTTGGACGGAATTTTTGGGGGTAATTAACCCGAATTTTTGTGATTGTTCTAAAGTGTTCACACCACACCACTTTTGTTCTACTATATATATGACATAAGACCTTAAGCATTTTACAATTAATTCCTCATTCTGCAGTACGCTTTAGTACGTCCACTATCTCTCCTTCTTTAAAATATTCCTCCATATTATTAAGATTTTTTTAAGGCTTTGGAATTGTAATCACGTTTTTTGCAAATTTTGTGCTCCACTTTCATCTTCAAAGGGTGAGATACTCAGTGCTATTAGTGATTTTTCCATATCTTTTCAAATGCATTATTATGTATGAATTTAATTATTTCAATTCAGGCTCCTTCGGGAGAAATCGTGATATATTTTAAGGCACAATTTAGCTTTCACGTTATTTTATAGAGCTTGCTAGAATTATCATTTGTCATGGTAAGATAATTCTCATTGTATATTGGTAAGAGAATTTATTTGTAATTTCATATTTGACTTGAATGTAGAGTAGCAAATATCTCATTGAGTATAATTCGTTATACTCATCCCCTTTATTTACAATTTTCAGGTAAGATTTAATATGCTAGACGGCAGTGGATGAATTTGTTATTGGACCAACGAATTCTCGTCATAAATACTTTAACTTTCAGAAACACTAGAATTTTAATAATAATGAATTTTTTTTTATTTTTTTTTTACTCAATTGTGAGTACATTAAAAATTTCAATTAGTTCTAATTGTTCTAATAATGTTTGATGAATGATATGTTTTCAAACGTTCCGCATATTTTAAATTTATCTTTTAATTAAATGTTATTCAATTTTTTTTTATAGAATTTCTCGTTATATTAAAACTATTTATTTCAAGCCATTTGATATTTTCATGTTTCGTAACGTTTTGGGTTATTAAAATTCAGGCGTTACAATTCATGAAAGGCATAATTAATATTGATTGTTTAACATTAATTTAAATTAAAATTAAACTTTAATCCAAACCAAATAAGCTCTAAGATAAATCAAAATAAAGTTGCACAAATCTTCACAATTTTATGCCTTCTTTGAACTCGTGTCTTCTCAGTTCATGTTGCAAAGAATGGCTGTCGTCTTCTTCCATAATTCAATTGATGATCCAACCGAAAAACTAAAACTAATCACAATCAAGTGGTCTAAATTAATTCCATTTTTTGTTCTCTTCCAAATCCTATGTGCCTGTTATTTCTCGACAAGATAGATTTAAAGTCCGTTTGGTGCACATTTTTTAGATGAAAATGCATTTTAAACATCATATCGCGGGTCCCCCATTAAAGTGTAGAAGTCAAAAAGTGTGTGCTGATGTGACGGAAAAAAATGCATTTTTAGCTCCAAAAATGAGTACCAAACAGGGGCTTAATCCCCTGCTCGCCCCCACTTAAACCCACTAAATATATTACATAACCATACATTAGTGATCTGAAAGCAAGTAGAGAAAAGAGGCAAATCGACGATTTTTCCTTCGCAAGCCCGTAGAAAATTTTATTCTAAAGAAAAGAATTTTCAAAAACCCCGTTAATTAAAAAAAAAAAAAAAAAAATTAAAAAAAAAAGATTTTGACAAAAATTTGACCATCTTTAAAATGAGTAAAATAACAATTTTAAATTTCCCATATTAAATAATTAAACCAAGAAAGCCCAAAAAATTAGTGTAAGGAACGAACAAAATTATGTCTTCTTTCCAACCCCATCCACAAATAACAAATCCTTTGCCCAACCACCAGTCAAACCAACCAAAGTCTACCCTCGCTCACGACTAGTCACAATCATAAAACGTCACTATCACAAATTTACAAATTTTATAAGTTACAACTTGTTCATAAGCTCTGTTTGGTCCCCATTTGTTGAAAATGAAAATGGTTAAAATAGTGTTTTTTTTGAAAAATAAGTAGTTAAAAAAGAAAGAAATATTTTAGATTTAGGTGTAATATTATTTTATGAAAAATTGTATGATTAAAATTATGAGTGAGAAAAATAAAATGTAATGGAATGGAAATTAATAAGGGCAAACGGGGGCTAATTCACAATTTATCAATTTTATACATCATGACTTATTTCTCGATCACAAATTATCAATTTTATAGGCTACTAGGGGTGGACGCGGGTCGGTTGGGATCGGTTCTCTTTAGAATTGAATCGAACCAAAATTTTCGGGTATCTAGTAAATGGAACCGTCGGGTCCAAATATAATTATGGAACCGTTCGGGTTCGATTCCGTTCGATTCTGTACTATAATTAAATTTTTTAAAATTTATAACAACATTATATAAATATAACTAATGATACATTCAATGGTTTTGAAATGCTATAAACTAGTAGACTACTTTGTTCAAATGATCGTTACGGTCAAAGTTTCGATCGACGGAGGTCGCAACTTCGATCGGAGGTCACAGTATCGGTCGACGATTGTATAGGTTTTGAAATGCCAGCGAGGCTACGAGCGTGAATGCGAGAGTCGAGACAACGTTATGCACTTTAGTATAGGTGTTTAGAATTATTTAGTGGATTGGATCTTGTTGGGCTAAGAAATGAAACAATAAAATGGGTAATGGGACCAAAAATTAAAAAATTAGAAATGAAACAAATTATTGAGCCAAAAATTTGGATTTACAAATTTTTAATTTGTTTAGAAAAAATTAAAATTAAAATAATTTGATTTATTCAATATAAAAAAAAATTAGAAATATTCGGTTCTTACTCTAGAACCGAGAACCGAACTGTACCCGTCGATTTTCAATTCAGATACCCGTTCGGGTATTTAATTTGACAAGAACCATCAGGTTCGGTTCAGTTCGATTCGATCGGTTCGGTTCGGTTCGGGAGATTTGCCCAATCCCATAGGCTACAACTTATTTCATGGTCACAAATTAATTGATCGCAACTTATTTTTGATCACAAGATTATCAAATTAATTAGTCACGACTTATTTATCGTTCAAGAAGGCACAAATGCAAAGTTATAATTACAAATTTAGTCACAAATCACACATTTTTTAAATCAAATATTATTTATTGACTATAATTTTTTCATTTTATTCGTCACAATTACCCAATAGTTGATCACAGCACTACAATCACAACCACAACCTCCAACACACAACTACCACCACCATCACCTCCTTCAATGAACACAACCATTGTTGCCGCCCGGACTAGTGTTTGCCGCTGCGCAACGGGGATTGACCTGTCTGGTCAGGTCGCAGTGGTCGAGGGGGCAGTGCCCCCTGTGGGGGCTCAGGGGCAACGCCCTCGAAAAAGAATTTTATTTTCAAAAGTCTTTGAATAGGTATATCTGTTCGTTTTTAACAGTCACTTCCAACAGATGTATGCAAGAATTTCAAGGGACACACCTATTCAAACGGTTGCCTCAATTTCTATAAATTTTGGGCGAATTCTCGTTTGCAAAATACGTTAAAAAAATTATTCTTCTCTCTTTCTCTTGGCATCAATCAGTTCTTTTCGAATGTCTTCTTGGTTTGATCAAATAGTCACAATTTAAATCAAACGCCTCCATTGTATTTTGAGAGAGATTTTCTATCATACTCCAGTTGTGACTTTGTTGGATAGGGGAGAAACATCTCTTAAAATATAAAATTTTTTCGTGCCTTGGAGTTCATTAAGTTTTCAGATTTTCCTACATTTTTCTCAACATATTCATCCTTTAAAACAATTTCAACACTCCAATTCTTTCTTAATTCTTCTTATTAAAAAATTCTTATATGATATAACCCCGTTACGGTAGTCTACATCATAACCATCACGTTATCCATTTTAAAAGGATTTATAAGACTTGTTTTAAAAGTTACCCTTCAACATCCATTTATCAAGGGTAAAACAAGAGTCAACGATTCCCTTACATTGCAATAGCAAAATACTGAGTTCCCCTTTCCATGGGAGTTTTTTGAGTGAAGCTCCAAGTAAAATCTACACACTAACTAACCTAACAAATAATACAAAACAAGGTAGAAAATCCACTAATGGAACTGATTATAAGACAACCTAAAGAGTGTCGATTATTGTCATGGTAACTATCCTATGACCACGACCATGACAGCATGTATCGGAGAACTCATCAGATGGTGTTTGGTTAATGCCAATCCAGAACTTCAGAATTTGGATCAAATTAGGACAAAATTATAGGGAGAGTAAGTTGATTATATTTCTCTTTTCATAATTTAGGTAAATAAACTACGGAATAGCATATTGACATTTTGGGTAAAATACTCAAGTCACAATTTCTCATCCTCATCACCTTACTAACATTCTAGTAAAATACTCAGATTTGCAAATCAAACTTCAAGTCTTCAACAACCTATTTTCCCGTTCTACCTTAGCAATTTAATTTGAAAATATATCAAGGGATGAGAGAGACTAGTTTAATGGATTAAATTATAATAAGAAAAGTACTCCTTTTCATTTCATTTTCCCCATAATAATTGATCTGATGCCACAAGTTTTCCATGGTCAAGGATCAGACAACTGAAATCCACAGGAACTGCACTACTCCGTAGCTTAAGGAAACAGGCTGTGTTTAAAAATCACCCCAAGAGCTGCTAATGTCACTATCGAGCTTTTTCTTTGGAAAGCTCCAACTAAGATGACAAATTCTCCTTCATTATTCATGATGATCATACCCCCGGAGCATTCGATTGGGAAGCCCCTGGAACTATGCACATAAGTTGCCAAAACAGACCCGTCCCACTCAATAAATTCATAAATCTTAAAACAGAAAATTCTTTCGAGATTCCTAAAAATATAGGAACAAAGATCTAATGATAATAACGAGCACAAAAGTTTAGAAAAGTATAGATGAACTTTGTTCACTCACTTCCTAAGGACAAAAAGGATTTCCATTCATCTCCGTAACCATAAGCAAAGTTTTGAACTCTTGCGCATGTGCTTCCGCAGGTTCTGCATGTTCTCCAAGAATTGATGCAGGTCAGTCTCACCCTTAGCGTGAGGAAAGGAAACGCTGATACAAACAATAAAGAATGACAAAGTCCAACTCCGTCTCTAGTCATTATATCCATCTCTCGTGAAGAAAATAATAAACTATGAAAGAAAAAGAGGAGAAGCAACTGGCCTACAAGACATTATCATTAAGGCAACAAAGTTTAACCTTGCCAACATGATGCAAAGGGAAAACAAATCAACATACGTACGATATGATTTCTCATTTTTTATTTAACTTGTAACTAAATGACTTTTTTGAAGCTAAAAAATGAATCCAGATATTTAATATTGACAAGTAAAAGGATAACTGAAATCAACTAGTTCAAGTTTCTACAATTCGGAACAAGTCAAGCATAAGACAATGAAGACAAGACATTCAAATTACTCTGTTACACATGAAGAAAGTTGGATAGATGATAATCGAATTTCCCATGACCGGAGAGCAGTGTCCGCTGAACAAACCATTTCAGAGCGAAAGACAACCTATGATGCTCATACTCAGGTATGGGTATATATCTAAGTGTCAAATCTTTTATTTTCTAAAATGTAGAGTACGATAACATAGCTAAAAAGAGTCCAAATTTCGGACACGAATACGTGGATACATCTTTTAAACTTCAATTTTTTTTACTAATTCAAGATCACATTTTGAATAAACCAAAATAAATTATTCAGAAGGAAATGGGTATTGAATAAGGAGTTAAGACGAATAAAATAGAATTTTGGGATTTAATTTTCAATTATGGAAATTATTAAATGCTATATAAAATAAAAAATGAGGGATTTGATTATAATTTGAACTTAGTGGAACACCGAATAGCACTATATGGAACCCATTTTTATTTTAAACAAAACAAAATCCTAAATCACCATTAGAGAGAGGGAAAGAAGGAAAAAAAAGAAGAAAATGGGAAGAAAAAGAAGGGAAGAACTAGCGTTGCTGCCTTTCTCCACCCTCTCGACGACGACGCTAAGCTTATAGAGAGCGAAAAAGAGGAGAGAAAAAGGGAAAGCAAAGGGGGGGAAAAAGGAAAGAAAGAAAGAGAAGCAAAAAAGAACGAAGTGTCCGCTTGAAATTTGGAGGATCCAACACACATCTCATACCCATGCCAATGTCGTGTCGCGTCCAACACGGGCACTACGACTATTTTGAAGGGTCCGAGCATTAGAGAAAACCATGCAAACGTTGTATCAGTCCATTCAACTTAACAAATAAACAACCCTTCGAAATCCCAACTTATTTTCAAGCTAGCCATGCATGCTGGTGTGTTATTGCAGCTAAAGTTGAAAACCCAGGACTATCTAAAAATATTATGTTGGATATTGGTTAAATAAATCGAGAATTGAAAATCGATTAAAGTGACTTCGTATCGACTTCGGCCAAATACTCAAAAGCTCGACTCAATCCGTTTAGGCAAAATTGTTTGGTATATTTGGCATTTCGAAAATCAATATCGGATGAATGAGAAATTACGAAAAAGGACGAAAATCAGTGAATAGACACCTTTTCATAAAGGCCATTAGTGAATAGACACCTTTTCATAAAGGCCATTAGTGAATAGACACCTTTTCATAAAGGCCATTAGTGAATAGACACCTTTTCATAAAGGCCATTAGTGAATAGACACCTTTTCATAAAGGCCATTAGTGAATAGACACCTTTTCATAAAGGTGCATTGTTTAGAAAGGGTGCATGGTTTGGCCTCAACCATTTCGTCCACACCCTTTCATGGTCTATAAATAGGACCCTTTGGGTGTCCTATTCCTCACAATTTGATATGCAAAACGTCTCTCATCCTCTCTTATATCCAAAATCAAAATCATTTCATTTATTTTGATTTTCTTTCATTTCATCCTTGGAGTACATAAGCCTAAATTTGGTTTGTTGTACTTGTGTTTTGGAGTGCTACAAATACAAGTGTAGCCGTTGTATCTTGGGAGTCGATTGCCGAAATCCGTAGGCACCGTTGCGGGGCAAATTCGACTTAAGGACAAAGAGTCCAACTCTTGCCTCGGTTTTGTCCCTACTTTCTTCTTCTTCTTGTTTGTGTTTTCTTTGCCGTTACTCTGTCCAATTTTCGGCACGGATTTACAAACCATCATTATACTTATTTTGGCGTCACTATTCACAAAATTCATCCAACATATTATTCATTCAAGCCAACCTACATATGAAATAAGGCATCTTAGATTCCATACTTGATCAGCAGTAGCTAGTGTATGTTATGGAACCTTAGTTTAACAAAGGGGTGTCATGATCCTCAGCTGCAGGAGCATTTTCTGGAAGGATTTCAGCATTGGAGATGACATAATTTGCGCCATGACTTCCCATGTCCACATCAGGTGCCACAGAGGGTTCTAAGGCTCTAACAACCAGCTAACAAATGCAAAACAGAAACTATGATTAAAAATTCCAGTCAGACAAGCCTATCTACACACAAGAAACTGAGTGAGTTGATATCATCATATTGGTGACATGATCGACAGTCAAGGATCATGGTGACAATTGACAAACGTAACTTGTGAGCAAAAGATCCGGAGAACATCAAATTAAGCACCTTGTTTGAGCCTCATTTTCTGGAGGAAATGTATTTTGGAATAGTGAGTTTTTTGGAGAATATGTGGTTAAGAAATAATGAAAAGTTTTGCGTTTACGTGTACTCAATAATGTGTGGTTGAAAATAAGTTTTGGAAAAATGAATTTTGGGAAAAATGTGGGTCAAATATGGGCTAAAAATACTCTCTTCATGGATAAAATATATCACAAACGCCGAGGTTTACTCTTTGAATCTAAATCACGAAATATAAATGGTAGATGTAGATTATCTGATCATATATTCAGATTCAGTTATTTCACTTTTGCTTGTAAACTTGATTATAGAATCATCCAATCAAAAAGAGTAAATAAAATTGAATTTCCCTTTTGCAATATCTACTTATACTTCTCAATTCAACTGAAAGCCAAGGTCGCAGAGGCCATGCATATTGACTGAACAGAAGGTAGAAATAAAGGGTTCCTAAAGCACCCTAGTTATTGTTTCCCTTCTCTTTCTATATTTTTCTTTTTAAGGTGCAATATGAAGAGAAATAGAGAATCACGAAAACATGGCAATATGGCATCCAAATTGATTCTTTCATGCCACAGTACACATGCTACAGTGACCACAATTAAGGGTCACAATCCCATGAAAGTGAGCCAACCCAAAAACGCCTCTTCAGCAAATTGGAGGCTGTAGCAGAAATATGCCAGCTTAAGGTTTAATGTTGCACTGAGCTAATAAACGGATGCAGATTGATATATCAAAGATATTCCTGGTAATCTAAAGAAAGAGCTTCACACCGGCACCTTGAAGGAAGTTATCCAGCTATGGTTTTCTTGCAGTTGCTTAGGCACCGGTTCTAAAGTAGTGATACCAGCCAGCTTTTGTTCATCAAATTTCATGACTTAGCGTCTCAATTAGCAGAATGTAAAGAATACAGTTTATTTTATTTTTTAGTAGATAGGATGAGCAGCACTGCACATATGCTTCATTTTACAAAGTTCTCTTCCGTTAACTGCCAACATTATGGCAACGCCTCTCTTTTTGAATAACTATCTGTGTTGAAGCTCGTAAGTTGGCATTCGGCATCTGTTTGATTTAAGCTCTCTTCGATAGACACGTTAATAAATCAATAAAGCTAGGACAAATTTTACAGCTCGTAGTAACTTGAAAAACCAAATGCAATTGTCAGGTTCCGCTTCGCGTCTTACATTTTTATCATAAGAGTTGGTGCAGAAAATATTTGGTGTCTTAAGAAATTAAAGTTTCATTACAAGGTTTGAACTGGCTCAGGAACCATTTACATGATAAACATTCACTGGGGAGATATGATTTAGCACATGGAATTCCAATTTGTATGCAATAAAAAATGTAAACAATAGAATTAAGATTTTTCCAGCTACAGAGCAAACAAGAAAGCCGGTGACATATCATCGAAGGAAAAAGTGAAGAGCGGGAGGATAAAGTCGTCTGTACAGGTAACAAGAAAAAGGGGAGCAGCAGAAAGGGAAGGATAAAGTCGTTTGAGCAGGTAACAACACAGTTGTTAAAGATTTCTTATAAAGAAAAATGAGATGGAAGAATAACCTCTTCGGACAGTGAAGATTCAAGAGGTGCTGGATTCTTCATTTCTGTAGCAGCACCTTCCATCTGAACTTGAGGTGCTGGACTCTTCATCTCAGTAGAAGCAGCTTCAGCCTTGGCATGAGGTCCTGGATCTATCATTTCTGCATTAGCAGTTTGCATAACATCGTTCATGTAAAGCTCTGCATGTTTTGAGCTTTCTACACCTGTTCCATGATTATCATTTTGCTGATTGCCGTCACTTTCTGTAGCTTTTATTTTCCTTATGAGAATTTGATACAAAATTCCATCAAACATTGATATTAGTACTAGCTCTAAGCCAGTCTAGCTAGTCAACAGATTTAGGATACATGAACAAACCTCACCTATTGGAAACATCATTGACTGTTTTCTTCAGGATTGCTTTGTTGGAAAATAACAGTCCACAGAGATGCTTTCCATCAATAATGGTTTCAATCATATATCTGTCTGGAAAGCTTTTGATGACTTTAGCTTGGAAGCTTCTCTTACCCAGAGAAGTTTCGTGTTCATCTAAATAGAAATTCTGTCCACCTGCATTTGAGCGAGCATGTCATTAAAAGGAAAATTAATAAATAATTATCCTCAAAAATGCAAAATACAGTTCCATTTCCCAAGCAAATGCAATGCCACATCTGTGAACTATGACATCTTCATAAACGAAACTACTACTAAATGAATTTGAAGGCTATCTAAACAAATGAGGACTAGGAAGCTAAATAATCATTGATAAAATCAGCAAAATGCCGCACTTAACTTCAACTTAAATGGTCATCAACTTTTCCCCAAATCCTTTCTTGTGTGAAATGCCAAATTTGCTCTCTTTTTTTAGCATATGTTCCCACATCAGGCATTTTGAGGACTAGTGGCAATACCCTATGTGTCGTGGAAGGCAAAAGGATTCAGGGAAAGTTGCACTAGCCCTGCTCTTGATTTCAGTCATTTAAATGAGCCTCCCTCAGAGAGATTACCATCGAAGGCAGTATAGATGAAACAGACTTCTAGTATTTTGAACATACAATTCTATTTAACCAACCTATCTCAATTATGTGGTTGTAAAGTTTTTCTATCCTTCCTTTTGTTTGTGTTTGTGTGTGTGTGAGAGTGAGAGATAATACAATCAATCTAATGTATAAGATAAAAATAAACAAAAATTAACGAGAATTCAATCCAAAACAGATCAAACTGTATTTACCAGGTGGAATATAACTTGAAATTGGCGCAGGATGGTAAACAGTGGCATCATGTTCAACTCCCACATAAGTAGGCTCATATGCAGAAGCACCAATGTTCTGCGCTTGGCATTTCAACTTCAGCTGCTTCCTCAAAGATAACTTCACCACTCGCCCTTCATCTCGTTCATTCTCCCTAGAAAGGCCTGGTGTTGGACAGTTCCCAGTACAAGATCCCATAGAATAATAAGGAATTAGTTCAAAACATACTAACAAAGAATGTGACTTTCCAATAAACGATTGAGGAAAACATTACCCATACCTGTGTGTAAATAATACATATCATCCAGCGCTTCAAGATCCTTATCGCAACCGCCTATAACTACCAGAACACCACCCCTCTGCAGATCCAAATTTTCACCCGCCATAGAAAATCTGCCAGAAGGACCCTGGCCAGTAGCTATCACTTTAGTCCATCTGCCATTTTCTACATTAAACCACTACATGATTAAAAACAAAGGTTCTATACTTCACACTCAGAATCAGCCAAAAGTAGTCAACATATGCCACTCAAGTAACGATCATCATCATTGATGAGTCACATTGATCTATCAAATGATGTCCAAATAATATTTTTCTAAACTAATCGATGGAGTAGGGAATATGGCCCCACATAAAAGTATTAAAAAATTTAAAATTATTTTCTGAATCCAAGATAAGACATTGCCATGATGCAGATCAGTATAATCCTTACAGATAACTGTTAAAACCCGAAAAAGATATGAAGAAAACGAAAAGTTTAAGTCAGATCTTACCAAATCATTAGCCTCTGTTTGGCCCCCATTTTCTAAAACTCATTTTCACCCACATAATTCATGTTCCCACAACTTTTATCAAATTTTCAACAACACATTTCAACAACTTTTATCTAAATCTAAAAATTTGATTTTTACCTAAACCAAACAGAGACTTAATTACTCCAAAAGATAATGTGAAATTAGGTATTTTTCTGAAAGCACAAAAACCAGTAGTTTAGGCAATCCCTACAACCCAGTTAAGCGCAAACCTTGCTCCAAAGGAAAAATGGAAGCGACCCATGGTTGTCTACATTTTTGTCCCAAAAACAAGCTGCAAACTATGGGATTGATGTTCTGAATATGAAATAGGCCTCAACTTTCACAACTCAAACAACAAAGCTAATGAAGTGATAGCGGAGAAAATATGATGTCTGAATGCGTCCATGGAATTTCTAGCTACCATTTCATTTTTGTAAACAAATATGACTGCCAAACACATAATACTTCTCTTCAGCACTTTCTAAATTTTCGATAAACAGCATGCCAAGTGGATTAATAAGATGGTTTCCAAAGAACCAACTTGGAAGATTTGGGTTGAACTGACCTCGCGTAGTTTCCAAACTCTTCAGACAGAGATTTAGTCTGAAAACATGCTGCTTTTGAATCCTATTTCTGTGAAAATTCAAAGTAGATTCAAGTAGGTCCATATTGTATGCCTATCATTTTGGTTCTTGGAAATTTTGAACTCAAGCTTGGCAGAAAACTATTGGATTTTGAGAGATTGATGTTATCCAAAAATGTCAAATTTTCCCAATTTGCGAAAATGACAGTGTTAGATTTCATTCGAGCAGAAGTCTTCCAGCAACAAAAGGAATAAAGCTTCTATATTATTTCTTTTTCTTTTATGTTTTTTCTTAAGCTTTTCCCACTCATTTGGGAATAGTGGGGGAACAAAGGTTGAGATTCAAGAAAAACTAAAATACATGGAAAAAATGCTGCAGGTCATCACAAAATTTACGTACTAAGATCCAGCTTATGAACATCATCATAGAGGTTCTGCTCATCATTAAAACCCCCAAAGACAAACAAGTTCTTGCCGGAAGCAAGTGTTGTATGCCCACCTCGGGGTAGTAGCAGCTGCCCCATGGTATTCAACTTGCACCACACAAGAGTATCTATTATTAAAAGGAACCAAAATGAAAGTCAAAGCATGCATTACATAGTGCATAAAGCTTCACCCTACCATAAATGAAATAGTAATGACATTGACATTTAACATATGAGATTACGATGATACCTGCGTTTGAGTATGTGGACATCTGAAAGATAATAATTATAAGAATCTTCACCTCCAATCACAATGATTTTATTCCTCCAAGACGAACACGTATGACTATTGCGCTTACTATGAGGAGTGCCTGATGGTACCACACGTTTCCACAAAAATGTCTCTGCAAAAGAGGGGAGAAAAAGTTCATAAAGTTGAATCTTGCCCAATTACCTATGTATGAAAAATGTTATGCTTGGGCAATGTCTCTAAAATACTTCTCTTATTCAGTTCATCATCCAATATCCATTTCGATGGAGTTTTATCTAAAACCCATTTAATTTCACCATTGAAACAACAAAATCGTACAAGCAAGGCAACTATCTTGGCTACTAACAAATTCAAGCAGCAATCTAATGTAAAATCAAAATCTACATTTAAAATTAAAACACAAGTTTAAAGATGATTGAAAAATAAACGACGATGACAATGATAATGATAATGATAATATATCACATGCTGCTGATCCAAAGGAAGATTGTTTTTATTCAGGTTATTAATCACCATCCACTCCACCCCTTCCACACACACACACAAAATAGGAGTACTGGGATTTAGGACTCTGTTGCTACTGACAACTCAGTGCCTATTAAGTGATTTTTAGTTCCATTATCATGTTTGGGTGTTTGTATATTTTACATATCAGAAAGGAGACAGAAAAAGTATGTAGACAATAAAAACCGATCCACAAACAAAATGCGATCAACCACCTAAAAGTGACTATTGAGTAAGAAGCATATACCGGTGTTCAATATATAGAGATCATCATAATATAATTCACTGTCCTCAGATTTGCCGCATCCACAAAATATGAAGAGCCGTTTGCCAATAAGTGCTGCACTGTGGCCTTCTCTTGCCTCTGTTCCATTACCGAAGCTAAGCATATTAAAAGTCAAGGGATCATTTGTCAGACGATATAATGAGAATTGATGTTTCAAGTGTAAGTTTTTAAGGTTTCTCAAATCTTAAATAGTTAATAGCCAAATAAATAAATAAATAAATAACAATAATAATTAGGAAATATCAACAATGAGAATATAGAAAGAAGTTGGGAGAAAAGAAAAGAGAAGTTGACAGCTATACAAAAAAACAGAAGCAAAGCATCCAAACCTTATGCCTTAAGGCCTCAAAGCTTAAACTTTTGTGAACTTTGTCAAGGATTGCATCTAAACTTACCTCAGGGTTAAACCTCAGTCCGGCTGAGTCTTGCATTTTAAGGCTGTTCTTATTCTTATATCATACCTTTTGGGCTGGTTGGTCATAATCAGCACAGTTTTAGATTTTTTTGCAACCAAAAAATCTCGTGGATTTTATTGGGTTTGTTTTAAACACAGCCCAAACTCAAAAACTAAAAAGTGGTAAATGCCTGTGCATACTCTGGTCCTCTACTTCTATACTACATGTGGTTGCAAAATTTCAACAGCGGCTGACCGATGACATGAGACCTGCAATATGTAACTTCAATTTTCTTCTCTCTCGTATACTTTTACTTGCAACTCTTTCTCAGTTATCCTTTCCTTTAGAAGTCAAAGTGAACAAGAGGAACACTTACAGCTGAGTCCCCAACACCTACGTAAGGTTGCACTTGAGTCTCAACTCTTTCGAGTTTATAGCACTTGGGTCCTTTATGGAAGAAGATAGATGGTTTGGCCATTAAAAAATCACCTTAAGCCAGCCTAACCTAAGAAGCTCCGACATAGATACGTAATTCGAAAATGATACGATACGAATGACTTTTTTTAAAACATTAGGATACGTAAATACGTGTTATAAAATTTAACATAATTTCATTAATATTAAAAAAAAAAAAATTAAAACAAAAGAAAACATGCTGATTTTGGTAACATATTTCCAAAGTGCTTTTCATAATACATGATCGCTCAGTTGAGAAGAAGAGGTGTTTTAATGTTTTAAGTTTAAAAGTATTTTCCCTTTCTAAAACTCTACTACTATTTTATAAAGATAGTTTTTTAATAATTTATAATTACATTTATTCAAAGATACTAAATATATAGTGGAGTGTGACTATATTAATGTATAATTTATTAGCACGTTTTTAAATCTTAAATCCTATGATGCTCGAATTCGGGTACACGTATCCGTTACGAATACGTATCTAAGTGTCGGATCTCCTATTTTCTAAAATATAGGATACGGATATATGGCTAAAAAAATCTAAATTTTGGACACGGGTACGTAGGTACGTTTTTTAAGTTTTAGTTTTTTTACTTACTCAAGATGTTGTTTTGAATAGACCAAAATCAATTGTTCACAAAGAATGAAATGAGTATTAAATAAGGAATTAAGATGAATAAAATAGATTTTTTGGGTTTAGTTTTCAATTATGGGAAGTTAATTATTAAATGTTATATAAAATAAAAATGCCAAACTTGATTGCAATTTGTACTTAGTGGAGCACTAAGTAGCACTATATGGAACCCAATTTTATTTTATACAAACAAAACTCTAAACCACCAATACAAAGAGGAAAACGAGGGAAAGAATGGAAAAAAAGAAGAAAAGGGAAAGAAAAAGAAAAAGGAAAGAAGAAAGGGAAATCTAGCGCCATCGCCTTTGTAACACATGAAAAAAATTTAGAGTAAAATTTATTTGTTTTATTTGTTATATTTTTAAAAGTTGGGGACTAAAATGAAAAAGCTTTTAAATTCCTATTTTATCTGGGTCCAATAAATAAGATTTTGATAGAGCAAATATAAGTATATTAATATTGGACTTGTTTCGTATGTCATAATTAATTAAAAGTCTTCGATTTGAGAAAAAGTTATTTTGGATAAAGTTCGAATTAAGTTAGAATCAACTAAAAGAAAATAAGAATAATTAGAATTTTGAGTAATCTTGAAATTAACTTAGCAATAGGACAGCACGTGTTTTGGATAATTTTAAATTGGCTGCTAATCTTTGGATTAGAACGAAAAGGTTAGATTATAATTAAATTTCACCTACTGTTTTTTAGTTGAATTAGAATCATAGTATCCAATATTTCCACCCAATTCTTGACGTGTATGACTTCCACTTGAATACCAATTCTTCATAGACTAGATCAGTATTACCTATATATAATTATAACATCTTGTAGAGCAGGTATCCACGAGAATACATTTACAAATAGGACAGATATAGAATAGTTTGAAAGGTAGAGATTTACACAACGGAAAAAGACGGGGCCGGCCCTGGCTCAAGGCAACCAAGGTCATTGCCTAGGGTTTTCTGTAAGTATTATACTCTAGGTCCAATCAACTTTGGACATAAATACTTTTAATATATAATTAATGCAATTTAATGACAAATTTATTATTTAATTAATAGAAAATTAAATAAATAATAGAGTTCGTAGCTTCAAATTTCCGTAATTTGTTAATCACAAGGAGTTGTGATTGTGAAATACAAATTATCTCTGATTGAATCTTAAATCGTCCGTGGTCGTAAGTAATAACGAGATACGGATATCATTATTACGGATAGACCATCATGTGTGACATTTCTTACTTGTGAAGTAAGTAGCTGATCTCACAAGCTAAAATGTGGTGACACTTAAATGAATACGTGGATGTTTTGTTATAGAACAAAACATTGAAGACCCGCCGAGAGATTCCACATGGATAACTATCTGAGTGTCAGTGGTTAATCTCTAACATTCGGTAGTGGAATTGGTCCTTTGACTTGAGGTCGTCCTGGTACCTTATACGAGGACAGTTATACTTTGGCGGTGTTGGATGTTGCTCTGTAAAGGGTCGCTAATACGACATTATTCGGGTACGTCAAGAATCGTATGAAAGTTGTGATTGATCAATAAAGGATTCGTCACTCTTAGATAGTAGGAGATTATGATCTGCGCTTCGTTCAATTAAGTCGCTGATGAAATCATTGGCCAATGTGTACTCATAAGTCGAAAAGAAGTTTTTGACTTATATTGACTTAATAGTGGAGTGAAAGTTATGATCGATAATCGAGATTGACATACTTCTATATCTCGTAATTGATCGGATCATATTGACGAAGGGATTATAGTTTTACGGTAAACGAACGAGTTTGATTTTGTCACGCCACATGACATTTCCCGTCACATGTATTGCCCTGACACATTGCTAGATGTCAATCAGGGACGATGAGTGTGAATTGACGATAAATTAAAAGGGTGTTTTAATTTATCAATTTTGATTAGATCAAAATAATATTTCAAATCGTTAGGTATCGTGGTTGGGAACCTAATGGGTTACACACAAAAGAGAATTGGAAGATTGCAAATTGCCAATTGGTTAATTTAACAATCGTTGGATAAATTAATTAATTGGATTTGTTATTTATATTCCCGAATTAATTAATTGGATTAATTAATTCACGGACCGGGTTTAATTAAATGGAATAATTAAATATTGGACCGGATCGGGTCAAATCCGTATGGGTTTATATAAATACATGGTTAGGGTTTGATATCTAGATGATTTTCATTATTCTTGCTGGCACAAGAGAGAAAACCCTGGTAGCTGCAATTTTATTCTCTGTGTGGATCATCGTTGGAGGCTGGACAATTGAACAGATGTGGATAGCGAATTAAGATTGCTGGAACGAAAGGAAAAGCAAAAGGTTTGCAGAATTCTTCAAAGGTACAATCTTTATCACGATTTCTATCTAATCACAAAGGAATCCTCGGTGGGAATCGAAATAATTTTAATTTTCCGTTGTGCATGTATAAGTAGATTCACAACAGTAGTATCAGTGCCTACTTTGTGTTTGTTAGAAATTGTTTAACATGATTGTGCAATTAAAAATTGATTGTTACATCTTTTCTAGTTTCTAGCAATTGAAAACTTATTTGTATAGTCAAAATCTTTTGAATGGAAAATCGTTTATGGGTCGGAATAAAAAAAAAAGGCTAGGAAGGAGACTGTCGTCGGCGGGTTTTGGGCGGCCGGCCTACCCACGGGATGACGAGCAACGACGACAACCACTGCTGAGCGTGCAACAGTGATTGTCGCCGCTGCAGTATGAAGGCAGCAGCGCCATGCGCACAGCCCCGGCGCCAAAGGAAAAGTCGTCGGTGTCCGACCCTAAAATCCAAGAAACAAGAAGAATGGGCGATTTTTTTTTTAGGGTTTACAGGTTTTGGGGTGATTGGAGGTGGGGGCCTCTAATGCAAATTGATAATTTGCAGGCCCCTGCCTGCAATTTAATTTTGGGGTCACTTTGTAAGTTATTTAAGTAAGGGACCGTTTTGCATTATTTGATATTGAGGACCCTTACTTGTAATATCACTTCGGTGGTAAATGTGTAAATATTGAAATAAGGGCCGTTTTCATAATTTCAGAAATCGGAGGGCCTGTTTGGTATTTTTAAAATGGGTCAAATTTTGAATTTTCAAAGATGTATTGAATTTTAAATTTGGAGGTGTTTTACATTTGATATCCAAATGGGTTTGAACCATAATTTTAATTTTGATCCAAATTAAAAGTTTATTTAAAATTGACAACATTTTATATTTACATTAAAATTAGATTTTGACTTAAACATTATACTTTGACCCAATTGAATTTTTATTTTATTTAGGAGTGTTATCCTAAATTAAAATATTAATTCAATTTAAATTAGAGTTTGACTTTAATTTAATACTTAATTAAAATTTGATTTTAATTAATTATTCACCCAATTATATTTTTGAAATTAGAATTGGATTCTAATCTGACATTTAATTAAAATTTGATTTTAATTAAATTGTGTTACCCTAAAATTTTATTTAAGATTAGAGTTAGACTCTAATTTGAGTTTAATTAAAATTTGATTTTAATTAAACATGTTCGCCCTAAGATCTTGGAATTAGAGTTTGACTCTAATTTTGTTATTTAATTAAAAATTGGATTTAATTAAGTTCAACCGCCTTAAATTTTGAAATTAGAGTTTGACTCTAATTTGATATTTAATTAAAATTTGATTTTAATTAAATTATCCCGCCCTATGATTGTTGAATTAGAGTTGAACTCTAATTCGGTATTTAATTAAAATTTAATTTTAATTAAATATGCCCGCTAATTAAATAATTGATTAATATGATTAATTAATTAATTAATTATTCCGATCCATTTGTTTAAAAGAGTTTAGATGACTTAATTGCTAGAAACTTGAAACTTATTTGCATATGATATTAGATATTGTATAGGTATATATTTATGTGATGAATGTATTATTAGTGGACGATTATGGACTCGACCATATGGATGTGTTGAATGGTTAATTTTTATTCTTGTTGTTTTCTAGACCTGCGAGCTTTTAATTGTTTTGGGCATGCGAGCCCTTTATCATTGTTATTATTTTGAGTCTGCGAGCTCTTGATCATTTTGGACCTACGAGTCCAATTTCATTTAGGTCTGTGTGTCAACTAGTATAGGATATAGATTGCAACTGGACTAATTGAAGAGACAAGAAGAGGAGGAAACCATGGAGATGGTGCATTGATACTGTTCAATGCTATACCCCCTAGGAATTGACCAACTAG